CCAGATGCTATATCTTTTGATAGCCAGGCACCATCAGCTTTCTTCACCTCATTTGCTTATGCACACATTTGTCTTCAGTGATGTGTCGGGAAGGTACATGTAGTTTTGTGCCTTGTTTTTTCACTTAATTTGAAAAAAATTATAATACATTGGGACAGCAATTAGAATCAGGGTTTTGGGGGGGCAGGAGGGAAAGTGGTGGCAGTGGTGTAAAAGGGAGACGATGTCAAAGAGTCCAGGAAGAAAAAGAATGTTTGTAAACTGATTGTGGCAGCAATTGTACAATTCTGCTTGATGTGATTGAACTATGGAAAGATGATATATGTATTAACTTCCAATTTATAATAAAAAATAATAGTTATATTACAAACAGTTTGCCCTGTTGTATTGTCCTGAAGTCTGAATTTTAATAATGGGAGTATTATTTTAGTGATTAAGTAAAGATTAAAGTTTCCCCAATATTAACCATTTGTATCTTGCTATTGTAATAAACACACATACACGTGTAATAATTATGTATGCATGTGTATAAAGAGTCCTGGTGGCATAGTGGTTATATACTGGGTTGTTACTTGCAAGATCAGCAGTTCAAAATCCCAGCTCCTCCCTGGGAGAAAGATGAGGTTTTCAACTCCCATAAAGAGTTACCATTTCGGAAAACCACAAAGGGCAAGTCTACACTGTCCTGTAGGTTTGCTATGGGTTGGAATTGACTTGATGGCAGTGAGTTTGCATTTATATAAATATTAACATACATATATGTACATATCACTTTGCTTATCTAGGATACATTTTTATAAACAGAATTACCAATCTAAGCATTTCCAGTGGTCACTTCTTGCGGGCACAGTGGAGAGAATGTTGCTGTGGGGTCAGCCTTTTCTGATGTACTCTCCTTTCTGAAGACGCGACTCTAGGTGTTCCTTCACTTTGCGGTGCTGCGGTCACCCTGTGTTGAGTAGGGCTCATCACACGACCCGTCTCACAGCGCTGTGATGGCAACTACTGGGTAACGCCTGCCCCATAAAGCAGGGCTCCATACATGTTCCCAGTCCCTTCATTTGTGATGTGTTAATTCACACACGCAACGCATACGTACAAAGTTTTATTCAGTACCAAGAAAAATGTAAAACTCATTTGAAGATAGACACTCTTAGGTTATAAAGATGGAAATGCAAGGGGCGATTGGGTCCACTCTAGCTCATAGCGACTCTGCACAGCAGAATGAAAAATTGCTCGGTCTGGCACCACCCTCACACTCATCGTTATGTTTGAGCCTGTTGGTACAGCCATGGTGGTCAATCCATCTCCTTGAGGCTCTTCCTCTTTGGGGCATGATGTCCTTTTCCAGGGCTTGATTTCTCCTGATAACATGTTCGAAGTACCTGAGATGAAGTCTTGTCATCCTCACTCCCAAGGAGCATTCTAGCTGTCTTCCCTCCAAGATAGCTATATTTGTTCTTCTGAAAGTTTTTTCAATATTCATCACCAACACCACAATTCAAATGCGTCCATTCTCTGACCCTCCTTATTCATTGTCCAACTTCCACATTCACCTGAGGCAATTTCAAATACTGTGGCTTGGGTCAGGCCCACCTGCATCTTTAAAGTGACATCCTTGCTGTTTAACCCATTAAAGAGGTCTTTTGCAGCAGTTTTGTACAATACAGTATGTCATTTGATCTCTTGACTGCTGCTTCCATGAGCATTGATTGTGGATCCAAGACAAATGAAGGCCTTGTCAAGTTCAATCTTTTCTTCATTCATTATGATGGGAGGGTTTTTGCTTGCTTTACCTTCAGTTGTAATACCTACTGCAGGCTGCTAGTCTTTGGTCTTCATTAGTAAAGACTTCAAATCCTCCTCACTCTCAGCAAGCAAGGGGGCTCTGTTCAAACAACTGCCTCTTGGTTTATGAGCCAAGGTGCTACATGAGCACAATTAAATGCTCAGGAATTCCCATTCTCTGCAAAGTTATCCATAGTTTGTTAGGATCCATGCCATTAAATGCCTTTGCTAGTCTCCCAGTATACAGAGAACTGTCTTTCTTGTATTCTTTGCTTTCAACCAAGATCCACCTGGCCATGGTATCTCATGTGCACATTTGTGTTTCTTAATTCACCTTGACATGCTGGCAGCTCCCCATCAATGCACAGCTGCCACGGTGCTTGGCTTAGAGATAGAAGGCCTCAATCGTTGTCGTTTTCTTTGTACAGGGCTGTCCAGTAACTATTTCTAACCTCGTTGCTGTTTCTTCCCCAGTTCTGAGCTTCAAACTCTATCAGCGAGCAAAGCATGTTTACAGTGAGGCAGCGCGAGTGCTCCAGTTCAAGAAGATCTGTGAAGAAGCCCCTGCAAACATAGTCCAGCTGCTGGGGGAGTTAATGAACCAAAGCCACGTGAGCTGCCGGGACATGTACGAGTGCAGCTGCCCTGAGCTGGACCAGCTGGTGGACATCTGTCGGTGAGACTGGGAGAGTGCCAGGGCCGGGACAGGGGGCTGTGGTCCCAAAATGGTTTAAGTAATATAGCATTTTCATAACCTGCTAAGTGAAGGTATATCCTCCTCCACTGTCTATATGGGGTCATCCATGACATAGAGCTGAGCTTGTTTTTCCCTGGATATTTATTGAATGGAAGGTCTGGACTTCATTCTATGACTTTATAAGACCACAGATTTGGAGCCAGCTCTGTACAACATTATAATAAAGAAGTTTCCATCTTTTCATGATCAAGCTTTCCAGGAAGATACTCCCCCCTCCCCATTCCCTCCACAGACATGAGCTCTGTTAATCCTTTCTCATCTATTTTAATTCATGGTGTCTACTGGACTTCTGTAGCTCTGGTGGCACAGTGGTTACAAGTTGGGCTGCTAAACTCGAGGTCAGCAGTTCAAAACCATCAGCTGTTCCACAAGAGAAAGACTGGGCTTTCTACTCCTGTGACAAGTTACAGTCTCAGAAACCCACAGAGGCAGCTATGAGTCGGCCCCAACTCCAGAGCAGTGAGGTGGGACTTTTGTTCTAGCAAGTCGGGACTGGTGTTGTAGCTTCATTCTGTCCAGAAGCAGCGAATCAAGGCCTCCGGCCTGATAGAAGAAATGCCTATGGAGAGATGCTGCCGAAGCAGTGAGAGAATGAGAATCTCTACCCTCCCAAGTTTAGCAATTTGGAAAATAAGAACCGAAGAAAGCCCAATTTATTAATGACTGGTTGAGACAGCAGTTTAAAGATGAAAACTCATATAAATCCTGGGAACAGCTTCTTGATGATTGTTAGAGAAGGGATATAACAGACGTACTTTGCTCTCCTTGCCCAGTTTGGTCCTTTGTGTAAGGTTCATTGATCTTGGGAAAACTGAAAGGGGCATTGGGAGAACTCTCAAAGAGCTAGCTGTGATTTCCATTGAGCGAAGATATACAGTACTGCACGCAATTAATAATGAAAATATAATTAAGCACTTGGCGCCTGCGGCTTCACCCATTGTCACATTACCAGCCTGAAAATTTAAGCCGAGTAGCTCAAATGATCAAAACTGGCATTTGAGTGTAAACTACCTTGGCAAGACACTTGAGAATCACTCAGCTGACGCCAGTCTTTGTTTGCTTAGTGCCAAAAAGCGGTCCAGAGCGGTGCCACTGAAATATCAGGGGTCCAGTAAATCGAAGGGATGAATGCTGCTCAGTGGAAGTGGGATGATTTGTGTGGAAACCAGAGAGAAGTGTCTTTACTTGGAATCCTACCTGAAAATCAGCGAAGGACAGTTTGGCGGGCTCGTGAAATTCTTTACTGACCTTTCTTTTCCCAGGATGATCAGCTGGGACTTGCTCCTATGGGGCTTATATTCTAGCAGTGAAAGGAGCAAATGACAATGAAAACAATGCAAATGGTAGCAAATGAACGTAGCAGTGCAAGGGTTGGGTAGATCACTTTTAAATGAGGTGATCAAAGAAGACCTCTCTGAGGAGCTGATATTAGAACCAGGACCTGAAGGGAGTGAAGAAATGAACCACACGGCTGTGTGGAGGGCAGAGCATTAAGTGCAGAGAGAACGGCAAGCACCTAGGGCCCGGGAGGGTCTGCAGGGCAAAGGTCAGGGTGACCAGAGGGCAGTGAAAGATGGAGAGAGTAATGGTGAAGTAGAGAAGTAGTCAATGTCATATGTAGATTGTTGTTGGGGCTTTGAGTAGAGGAACGGGAAGTGGAGGTGCCAAGAAGATATTGGGTACCAGTTACACTTTGAAGGAAGGGTCAAGGCAACTGCTGTGTAGGTGAAGAAGAATCAACATGACTTCTAAGATTTTGGCCCCAAATTTTCCTTGCTTTTCTAAAAGCCATATTTTCGGAAGCCAGATTTCACAATTCTGGGTCAGAATTATAACACCCTAAGCTATTAGAGCCGGAAGAGTCCTCTTAGAGACTAGAGAAGACACTAAGAAGTGAAGTGATTGGATGAGCTCACATACTGAGTTATTGGGAAAGCCTGGGTCACAGTCCAATGTGTTGTGATAGTTGCAGCTCTTCCTGTTAGGATATACTAAAATGTGACTGTATATGAAAAATTTGGATTATTTTTGCCTAATTTCTCCTCTTGGTTTTAAGTTGGTTAGAGCGGGAGTTTTTGCTATGGTGTTTGAGCAGTGGAGCAAGGCTATGCTGAATAGGGGAGATACAGTGTAGAATAGGATGAAAGTGAGGAAGACGGGGTCTAGCTCCGTCTCTCTTCATTCCAACCTCTGTGACTTGGGACGTTTGCCTTGCTTTGTAATCTCTAGTGTCTTTTCTGTTCTCACAGTTTATGGGACTTTGCATTTTTCCAAATGTGATTGTAGTGAGAGATTTAGTGACTATAGCTTAAGTGGGTTTGGAAAAGCACCCCCCCCCCATTTGATTTGATTTTTGGAAAACCCCATTTAACATCAGTGAAAGTGTTTCTGTTGAGTTCTTTTAAGAACTATTATACGCTACCAAATTGACAACAGCAATTTCAAGGATTAGATGGAAACTTAGGGGCAATGAATGTTTGTTAGTGGGGGAGGGACAATGGGGTGAGAATGGCTACATAAGGTGAAGAATGGAATCAATATCACTGATTACATTCTACGTTCTACATTGTTCATGTGCAATGATTGAATTCGTGTATGCCCTGCGGTGTGTAGTCCTTAGCAAAACCAACAGAAATGCAGGAAGTTACAAAAGACAGGAGAGCCCATGTAACATAGTTCTACTCTGACTTACACGGGGATGCCAGAGTGGAGTCACCTTGCCAGCAACTTGTCTGATTTAGACTGAGAACGACATACGGTTTAAGGAAAGGAGGCCCTGCCTGAGGACACCCTGTCTTATTGCTAACCCAAGAAGATAATCAGGAACTGACTAGAGGATCAATCAGAATCTAACATCTTATAATATCTGTCCTATTCCACATCGGATTTTAGTTGTCAGGGAATTGACCTCCATGACTAAATGGTGAGTAATTTCATGTCAAGGATATAGCACATTTATTTATGAATTCCCCATTGCATCTACTACGGTGGTTCTCAAAGAGTGTGCTATGGATCCACAGGGATCCCCAAGATCCTTTCAGGAGATCCCCCAAAGTAAAATCTCTTGTCATATGATTACAAACACATGCCCTGCCTTTTGTCTAATGGCGTTGGCCTCTACACTGTTAGTGCATAAACAATAGCAGGTCAGGAAGCTGGTCCCTTCCCACCAATCAAAGCAGTGTCCTAGCCGTTATTCTGCCCAACACACACTGATAGTCAACACACTGTTGGACTGAAGACAGTACTTGATGAGGCAAAAAAGTAACAAATCTGTTGGCTAAAAGGATACAAAGATAGACGAGCCAGGAGCAGCAGGTAATAGCAGGAGGAAGGGTTCAAATAAAAAATGGAGATACTTTTCAGCCCTTGTTCTCTGGACCAGGCAGAAAACCGGGTGGAGGTATTAGAAATGACGCTGAAAAGGCCTCATATGGGCCATCAGTGCCCCAAACTCGATCTCTGATAGAGTGCTGTTTTGTCTAAGAACTACCACCATCTCCACACTGCCCTGCCCCTTTAAGAATGTTACCACCCGTGAAGAAGCTGTGCCTAAGACTGGGCAGACTGAGAAAACTAGTTGTCCTAGGGAGAACACGAGGAAGGAGGAGGGAAAC